AATAAAATAATTTTTAAAAAATATTCTTTAAAAAGCTAGCAGAAGAAAATGAAGATTCCTTATAACAATGTAATGACTTTCTTTGATGGAAATTCATTTATCTAAGATTTAAATTTCCCCAAATTTTTCTAATTCATTGATTTTCTTTTTACTAATTACTGTAAATTCATTTTTCCACCTTTAGTTGGAAATACATCAAATGGCAATAACACAGTAATAGAATAGAAAAGTACCAAAAAAATAACTGGATTACATTTTTTAGAATTGCGAAGTATGAAATTACTTCTAATTGAAAATAATGGAAATATCCATTCCAGTTTTCTGACTTTATTACAAAACACTGAAACAAACTAAAATCTTAAGATTGTTGAAAAATGTTATTTAAAACAGTTTCTATTTAAAATTTAGTATGTTTTGTGCTAAGACAGCATTTAGTAGGGAAAGAAGAACTTTTGGTTTCCAGAATTCTGCATTCAAATATTGTTAATTGTCAGCTGTTTTATTTTGATTATTGATTTAATCATTCTGTTCAAAAATTTTTCATACATGCAATCTGTCCAGTCTCACAAATTGTAACTGGTAAATAGGTATGACATTTTTCAATCGTACAATCCTTGATGTTTTCATTGAACATGAGTATCTGTAATACATTAGAAATTATCTTCCACTCCGTCTATCCTACTTATTGACTTAACTGATATTATCTAATTCCTTTGTAAAACTAATTGAAGCAATCACTATTTAGTTGATATTCGATATTGTGATGCTCCTCTTCAACATCTTAAACTTATATTTCCTCATCCATGAAGAGTCAAACTATGTGTTTTCTTAAACCTCATGAGTGCTACATCCATGGTTACTGACTGTGGATGCAAGAAAAATGAAATTATTGACCACTTCATATTCTCCTCCATCATGACACATTTGTAGGATTTATTTTTATTTCTAATTCTTTGTTGTTATTGTGTCATCACGTTGTTCTGTAATTGAATTAGAACCAACACTTAGCTGACCCTCCAGTGGGGTTTCAAAAGCAGTTAATTCCATGGGAGACGGTTGTCTATCGTTTTACTGCAGAGCAGTTAGTAGGTTCTTTTTTTTTTTTAAGAATAACTTTTTTTTACTCATTTTAATGCAAGTTTACAGAGACTTTGGATTTCCATTCATTCATTGATGCACTTTTCTCCCTGTCCACTCCTCTCCCTCAATTTGCTCTTCTTTTTGAAAAGTAAAAGAAAAATTCTTTCATATACAATCCCTCCCCCCAAATCCACTCCACTATGCAACCTTCGTTCTGGACTCCTGTCATGACAGGATAATCATATATCCCTTTTAAACAGTTCTCTCCCTCATCTCAATGTAATACACACTATTTATTCCCTCTTTTCTCAGTCTCCCAACCCAGATGTCAGTCCTGCTTTACAGCAGTGGCATTATGTAGCATTTGTCCCTCAGCATTATGTCCTCCAGGGTCACCCATTTTGTATAATAATTCATGAGTTCCTTGTTTTTCAATGCAGCATAGTACTCCATTGTGTGAATATGCCACAGCTTCTCTATCCATTCATTTGTTGATGGGCTATTCCAGCAGTTTTAAGAAGAAATAGTTTATAGGTCTTTCTGAGAATTACACAGTCACTGTTGCTTGGGGTCTTCAGCGTGTGCTTGAGGAATGCAACTGGGTGACAGAAATCTCTGACAAAATAGACTGGCCCTTATGATCCTTTTCATATACATCAGCAAATTGTCATCCTTCCCACTGGAAGGCAGTTCTTTTAAAGAGGGCCCTCCCCAGGACTTTGAATCGGCCTTCTAGTGCTAACCCACTCCCTCACTCAGATCTCTGTAGGTAGCACATGCTAACCTACCCACACAGATCTGAATGGGAGGCTCACTCATTCCCACTCAGATTGGAATGGATGGCTCACGCCAATCCACTCCCAGGTAACCAGTTACAGGCACACACGTGCATTCCCCAGGGCTGGCCAAAACAGAGTTGTTTTGGGTTGTTTGTTTGTTTGTTTGTTTTTTACTAAGCACGCAGTTACCAGATAAAGTGCATGAATTCGCGAAGGCGATGGAGGATGCCAAGAGTTGATTTCCCAAAGGTCTCTTGAGACAAAAGGTCTCTCAGTGGCACCCTTTAGATGTTTGAGAAACCAGCGCTCGGAGTTCTCCTATCCGCGAGATTCAGAATCCCCTAGCAAGCAAAAACAAGAAGTTTTTACTTACCAGGTGAGTCTGAAGATCCCTTTGTGGATGCCAAAAATGTTGCTGAACGCAAGGGGTTCTTTCCGTAGTCAGTCTCCAATAAGACAAATGGACTGCAATATCCATAAATGCACTTTATTCACAGATCTGGGAGACAGCGAGTCACCTCTAAGACTGCCTCCTCGTCTGGGAGTGGTCATGGCCTTATATACTGGGGTGAAACTCCAGCTCATTTAACATGGCACTTTTGTTAGTAAGAAAAGGTGATTTCTACATCTTCAGGATGGCCCCAGTTCTCTTCCTGGTAAACAGGCAGATTAAGATACTGTTTGCATATGACTGGAGAACCAGCTTCACCAGCATCTAGGATAGATGCATTTCCTCTTCTGGTAAACAGACAGATCAATCTACTCTACATGACTAAAGACAGGAAACAGAGAATTGGAGGCTAAGCAACTAGTTTTGCAGGCTGAAGAAAAAGAACTATAGTTTTATAACTGATACCTATATAGAGAATTCTGAACTTATTAATGCCACCCTATCATTCCTCCCTCTTCTTATATAAGTCTTATAAGACAACCATACTACACCATCATTCCCTCCTCTTTTTATGTAAGTCTAATATCTATAAGAAAAAAGTTTTGGGTTGATTTTTGGGGAGTAGGGCTTTTTACAAAGAAATTGTGTGGGTTCTCTATTTGGGAATATGGGCGCCGATTCTCTGGCTTCTTCATGCTGAACTGCGGCGCTGAGATGGAGGGGAAGGGGGTGTCCACTTTAACTTTTCATTGGTGGTCTTGAGTTCAAGCCGCATGCCTTTGATAGGGTGGCATTCTCATCAACATTAATAATAAGAAATATATAAAATGTTATTTATGCTCTGGAGAGTACATAAAGCTGAATGACTTCAAGGTGGCAGTGTCAAATTAACATCGCATTTATGTTATATTAAAAAAAAGTCGTAGAAAGTAGGAAAAAAGAAAAATATCTGATATTTTCAAAGGTTATTGTTTTTCGAGAGAATAATAACAGACCACACAATCAACTTCTGTTAATATTTAAATCCAAGGTGGACGGACACAAGAACGAAAAGAAATATTTCACTCTTTATTTAAAGATTTTTATATTAAGCACAACCCTGCTTGCTGAAACTGAAGAAGACCTGAAGCGCCTGCTGCAGAGTGTCAAGGACTGCAGCCTACAATATGGATTGAGGTTCAATGTCAAGAAGACAAAGATTCTCACCACTGGACCAATTGGCAGCATCAGGATGGATGGTGAAGAGATTGAGATTGTACACAGCTTTAGTTTGCTTGGCTCCATAGTCAACAGTCTTGGGCACCAGCAGCCAGGAAATTAAAAGGCGCATTGCCATGGGAAAGTCTGCTGTTAGGGACCTCTCCAAAGTACTGAAGAGCAATGGTGTCTCTCTGGAGACTAAGGTGCGTCTGATACAGGCTATGGTCTTCGCAATCACTTGTTATGCATCAGAGAGTTGGACAATGACCAGGGAGGATAGAAGGAGAATTGATGCCTTTGAGCTGTGGTGCTGGAGAAGAGTATTGAGAATACCATGGACTGCTAGGAAAACAAACAGATTTGTCCTACAAAGGGTTAAACCGGGTGGCTCCTTGGAGGCAAGGATTCTGAGGCTCCGTCTAACATACTTTGGACATGTTGTGAGGAGAGACCGGTCCTTGGAGAGGGACATCATGCTTGGGAGGGTGGAGGGACGGCGCAGGAGAGGAAGGCCCTCTAGGAGGTGGATTGATTCAGTGACTGGGATAATTGGGATGGGAGTGTCAGAGACAGTGCGATTGGCACAGGACAGAGCGGAGTTTAGGGCTGTTGTACATAGGGTCGCTATGAGTCGCAAGTGACTCGATGGCACATAACAACAACAACAACATTTAAAGATTATGATAACAATAAGATGAAGTCATTAATTCTAACACTTAATGTTCATTCTTTCCTACTGCTAGTTCTCTTGTTATTTTTCTACCAGTTGGAGCTGCTTCTTAAAACAATGTGTTTCCTTTGAAGTGGAAACTTTCAATAACTCTTGATGATATTCAGGGAAGGGAACTTTTCTCTTTCTTCTCTAGTGTTTTCTTTATGAAGAAAAAGATGGCTACTGTGGCCACTTGAGGGGTTTTTTCCCTTTCTTCTTTCTTTTCATTGCATTATGCTCAAAAGATGAAAAGTCTAAAAAAATGTGTCAACAAATAATAATGTTTTTAAATATTTAGAATACACAGAAAAGTGGCTTTGAATTGACATACATTAATAATTCTGCTCTATTTCAAAATGAAAATATGCTAATAATTGAGTTAAATATTAATGTTTGTGTGGTAGCAAATACAACTCTTAAAGGGTGTAGAAAATAGGCTGTAAATTTGTCATACAACTCTTTAATTCCTTAATGGATGTACAGTTTTCATTGGATCTTGAGGATATGGGGAGTTGTGGAGAGATTTCACAAGAGTCCCTAGTGTTTGCAAAGAGGTGAATCATAGAAGAAATTTGCAAATGACAGTGCAGATATAATTAATGAATCTGCCTTTCTTCAAACAGGAATAAAGCAGAGCTGGAAGAAGGGTGGCACAGATACCAATCCAGTGTTAACTGGAGTAATGTCAATGTCTTTAGGGTCAACCAGAGGCTTCAAGGTAAATTTCTGTAAAATGCTGGTCAGAAATATAAACAGCTCCATGCGGGCCAGTCCCTCTCCCAAACAATTTCGTTTTCCTAAAAATAACAAACACATAGGTTAGATACTTTTTGAACATTATTTTTTTAACTGTAACACAGAGAATATACTTTAATTATGTGATGAATGATGAATAGATGGATGGGTGAAAGGCAGGATGGCTAAGTATAAAGATGGATAGAAGAATCAACATGCTTATGATAATGTATTATCTAAATGAGTTTCCTTCATTCAACAAACATTTCTTGAGTGTAATTGTTATATAGCTAATGAAATGAGGAAAACCTTCAAGGGAATTAATTGTGTTATCAGTCTTGGCAATGAGTTAAAACATATTAATAATTATGGAACTGAAGAATGACTCGCAATGTTACTATTTGTTATACAGAATGACATTAGTTGTAGCTAACTCCCAAGATCAACAATCATCTTTATATCAAGGACGTTAGCCTTCCACCCTAGACCTGCTTTTTGACATTTCAAATTTTCATCAATGTTTTTTAGGCAAACTCAGATTGCTTTTTATACAATGAAAAACATTGAGAAAAAGGGGAATCCCAGAATGTTTAATTGTACCTAAACCAAGAAAGAAACTATTATCCAAACAGAACTAGTGAACAGTACATGGTTTAAAATCAGGATAGGTGTGCATCAGGATTATATCCTGTTCTCCATACCTATCAAACAAAATCACTAATATCACATACAAGCAAAATCCTGCTGACAATATAAAAAACTAACTAAAACAGCACATCAACAGAGAACTGTCAGAAAGCCTCAACTGGTCATGTATATGTAGCCTGTTCCTTGAATTACAGATACAAATATTACCTGAGGAGAAAGCCACGAAGTAATCACTCCTCTTAAAATTGCCACTTTCATCCAGAAAGTGACCAGGGTCAAATGTCTTTGGGTTAGGGAATGCTTTTTCACTGTGAAGCACAGAAGTCAGGGATGCTAATATGGTTGTACCCTAAAATAAACAGAAACAAATAAAGTGAGTGACCCTGGGGCCTGTTCTTTCTTTTTTTATTTTATTAATTTTAATGAACATTTACATAGATTTTGGATTTCCATTCATTCGTTGTTGCACTTTTCTCCCTGCCCAGGCCTATCACCCCCCACCCCCATGAGCCAGGTCGCTCCTTTCTTTGAAAAGTAAACGAAAAAATTTTTTCTTTGGTATACAATCCCCCCCACACCCCTCCCACGGCCCCGAGTACACTCCACTATGCACCCTTAATTCTGGACTCTTGTGATAACCATAATACCCTACCATATATCACTTTTAAATTATTTTCTCCATCCTCTGTTTCAATGCAGGATACATAATTTATCCAGTTTTTCTCAGTCTTACCCCAACCCTGATGTCAGTTCCATTCTACAACAGTGGGACCATGCAGTATTTGTCCTTTTGTGACTGAGATATTTTACTCAGTGTAATGTCCTCCAGGGTCACTTATTTTGGATAGTATTTCATGATTTCCTTGTTTTTCAATGAAAAGTAATATTCCATTCTGCAGTTTCTCTATCCATTTGTTTGTTGATGGGCACATGGGTTGTTTCCAACTCCTTGCTGTTGTGAACAAAGCTACAAGAAACACGGGTGTGCATATATCTGCTTGGATGTCAGCTGTGGTCTCTTTAGGGTATATTCCCAGTAGTGGAATTGCTGGGTCAAATGGTATCTCGATTTGCAAATTTTTGAGAAAGCACCACATCACTTTCCAGAGTGGTTGCACCATTTTACACTTCCACCAACAGTGAATAAGGGTTCCAGTTTCTCGACAACCTTGCCAGCATTTGTTGCTTGCTGTTCTGTTAAGTTTTGCTATTCTGACTGGGGTGAGATGATATCTCAAGGTTGTTTTGATTTGCATCTCTCTTAGAGCTAGGGATTTTGAACATTTCTTCTGTGCTTGTTAGCCATCTGAATGTCTTCTTTGGTGAAAGGTCTGTTCATATCCTGTGGTTTTTAAAAGATTTTTAATCACATAGGGATAGATTTCTCATCTTTCTTCTGTAGAGCAGCTGGCAGATTTGAACCTCTTGCCTTTGGGCTGACAGTTTAACTCTTTACCACAAGGCCACTAGATGTCTCTTATGGTTATGTTGTTGTTGTTGTTGTTGTTACCTGCCATCGAGTCACCTGTGACTCACAGTGACCCTGTGTACAACAACCCTAAACCCTGCTCTGTCCTGAGCCAATCACACTGTTTCTGACACACCTGCTCTCATTACCCCAGTCACTGAATCAGTCCACCTCCTAGAGGGTCTTACTCTCCAGTGCTCTCTCTCCATCCTCCCAAGCATGACGTCCCTCTCCAAGGACTGATCCCTCTTTTCAACATGTCCAAAGTATGTCAGGCGAAGCCCCAGAATCCTTGCCTCCAAGGAGCAACCTGGTTTATCCCTCTCTAGAATGAACCTGTTCATTTTCTTAGCAGTCCATGGTATATTCGATACTCTTCTCTAGCACCTTAGCTCAAAGGCGTCAATTCTTCTTCTATCCTCCCTAGTCATTGTCCAGCTCTCTGATGCATAGCAAGTGATTGTGAACACCATAGCCTGTATCAGCACACCTTAGTCTGCAGAGTGACACCATTGTCCTTTGGAGAGGTCCCTAACAGCAGACTTTGCCATCGCAATATGTCTTTTAATTTCTTGGCTGCTGATGCCAAGAGTGTTGACTGTGAAGCCTAGCAAATTAAAATTGTTAACAATCTCATCTATTTATTTATAATGAATTAGCTTATTTTTGCTAAGATTTCCTTCCTGGATGTATTTCTGTTGAGTAGCTTGTGTTCAAATAATGCTTTGACAAAGATTTTCTAGGAGCCAGGGTGAAAAAAAAAATTCAAAAACTCAGTCTTTGAAAAATGACTTTGTGTGTTGTCTTACTCCAACACCTAACCAGGCTTGCACAGAACTTAGTGAATCTCTGAAGTAAATGCATAGTGTCTTCTCAGGTAGTTTCTGAGTGTACTTCTGGCCTTAGACAAGCATGTGGATTTCTTAATTCCTCCATGCCCATGTTTCTTTTGACAGTGTTTCATTTCTACTACCACTACTAGAAGTAATTTGGAAATATAAGTTGCTTAACTTATCTAAAACAAAGAAACCTAACCAATTTTGAAGTCTTAACGCTGCTAGGTATCAAGACCTGTTACAAATCTTTGGAGTTTCACATTGGAAAGAAGATAAACTCTATCAAGCTGCATTTACAATGTATAGGACATTTTCATTTCTTTAATATTAAATTGGGAGAAGACTAGAATGATGCCATGAATCTGGACAAGCACTGAGGTCCAATTCAGAAGCAACCAGTTTTACCTTGGGGATGAGGTAGTCTCTGAATTTTACATCACGAGTCACAGAATGAGGCAGGCTGGTGGGGAGGAGGTCAATGTATCTCTGGATCTCATGCACCACAGCATCTGTGTAGGGCATGTTGCCCCTATCTTGCATGCAGGGGCTTCGGTGACTGCCAATTACACGGTAAATCTCTTCCTGAACTTTAGCTAACAAAATATAAATAAGAATTGATGATAATTTGAAAATTGTTATTTTTCTATTGTAATAGAAATTCTAAAGGTATATAAAAAATCACCATAATTATATGTCTAGAGGAATATTTAGGCAGATCAAGATAATTGATAATTGCTATAAGAAGACATATTAACACTCCAATTAACTAAGCATTAGTGCAAATGTGTACATATGCTGTATTAGCCTCTAATAGTTTTTGGATGCCATTAAGTCACCTAGAACTTATAATGACCATATAAATAACAAGTATGAAATAACCCTATCCTGCACCAACTCAGATATGCTCCAGACCATTCTACAGTCACTGTGTCTACCCATCTGATTCACCTCTTACCTTTCCCAACATGAAGTCTTTTTCCAAGGACTGATAACTTCTACCAAATTGCCCATAGTGTAATTTGTATCCTTGCGTTAGTGTAATGTATCCTTGCCTCTGAGGAACCCACCGGTTTCACTTCCTCCTAGACAGATTTGTTTGTCTTTTGGCAGTCTGTGGAATATTTAGTACATCTATCCATCTTCACAACTCAAAGTTATCAATTCTTGTCCCGTCATCTTTATTCACTGTCCAACTTTCAGGTCATAGAAAGCAATTGAAAAGACCATGGCTTGGATCAGGCCGCTTAGTCTTTAAACTGATATCACTGCTCCTGAGCACTTTGGAGAGAATCTTGGCATCAGATTTTCCTAGTGTGGCACATCTTTTGATTTCTAGCCTGCTGCTACCATAGGTATTGTTTGGGAATCCAAGTCAAATGAAATTGCTGACAACTTCAATCTTTTCTCCATCTATCACGATGTTCCCTATTGGTCCAGTGGCAAGGATTAGCCTATAGGTTAGGTAATGTAAGGAAAAGTGATTAAGTATTTCAAAATATAAACAGTACATAATTGTTGTTATGTACCATCAAGTTGGAACCAACTCCAGAGGTTTTCGGAGTCTGTGTATCACACAGGAGGAGGTTGCCCATCTTTCTACTGCAGAGAAGCTGGTGAATACAAACTGTAAGCCTTTGGGTTGGCAGCACAGCTCCTTACCACTAGACCACCAAAAATTTACTTTCCCTTAGATCTGAAAGATTACAGTCTGAAATCAAAGATTGAAAGGACATCTCTCTCTGAAGATTCTATGGGTACACCCTTCCTTATTTATCCATTCCAGCATCTGGTGGTTTCAGGCAAATCTTAGTGTTTTTGGCATAAAACTCATCACCATAATCTGTGCTTTTCCCTTTAAATGGCTGTCTTCCCTCTGTGTCTCTTTTCCTCTTATGAAGACATCAGTAATATTAGATTAGCACATATGCTCTCCAGAATGCCCTTTTCCTAACTAATTGTATGTGCAAAGATCCTATTGCAAACAAGGTCATGTACATAAGTATTAGATTGTTGTTGAGATTTTTTGAGTGGGAACTGACCCATAGCTGACTCTCCAGTGGGTTTTCAGAGGCAATAAATTGCACAAGAGGAGATTGCCCATTCTTCTTCTGAGAACAGCTGGTGGATTGGAACTGCATGCCTCTAAGATTGCATTGCAGGTTCTTACGACTAGGCCACAGATTAGAACAAGAAATTCTTATTCTTACAGAAAGAAAAATAGGAAGCAAATACTTTTACATCAAAAGATAAATCCTGTGATGTTAAAAACTTGAGTGCAGCCATCATATCTATAGATACGTGTTAGTGTGTGTGTACAATGACTTCCACTTCCCAAAGGCAGACATTTTTAATTATTCTAGCAATTTCCACTTCCTAAACAACATGTCTCCAGAAACTCTATGAACTTTGATAAATGTCAACAGTTGTAGAGGGGCTTCAGGCCTTTTGTTCGTAGAGTTGCTATGAGTCATGCTCTACTCAAAGGCAATCAACAAGAACAACAACAAGTAATTAACTATTTTTTCATTTATCCATTTCTGATTCTATCCAATAATATCCTTATAGCATGATCACTTACATTTGTATTAGCAATGCTTTTTTTTGGGGGGGTGTGTACTGTCAAATCAGATCTGACTGGTACAGGAGAAGATTGTCCCTCCTTCCCCGGCAGAGCATCTGGTGGGTTCGAACCGTGCACCTCTGGGATTGTAGTTGCAGTTCCTTGCTGCTAAGCCACCAGAGCTCCCCTAGCAATGCTTTATAAAATACATATATGAACAAACACACACACATACACTCTCACTCACACCCATACCCCTTATCTCTCTATTTTCCTCATTCTATTCTATTGCAAATTTTGGTATTTATCTCTTAAATTATTGAGATAAATTAAACATCATGCTTTGATAAGATTATGTATCACTGCATAGTGCCACTGTTGTAAAATGGGACTGACATTGTGGTTGGGGAGAGAATGAGAAAGATGGGATAAATAATGTATCCTGCATTGAAACAGATGAGGGAGAAAACTGTTTAAAAGGGATATATGATTAGGTATTACTGTCATGACAGGAGTCCAGAACGAAGGCTGCATAGTGTGGTGGACCTGCGGGGAGAGATTGTATAACATTGAAAGAGTTTTTCTTTTACTTTTTAAAGAGAAAAGCGAACTAGGGGGAGGAGGGATGAGCAGGGAGAAAAGTGCAACAATGAATGAATGGAAATCCGAAGTCTCTGTAAATTTTCATTAAAATTAATAGCAATAAAAAATATATAAAGGGAAAAAAGATCACATATCAAATTTTGTACTTCTTAGACTTCAAAAGAAATATTTCAAATCTAAATTTTCTAGGTAATTTCAACCACTCAGGTAAGGCACTTTTCCAAAGGCCACAAACCTTGCTGGTTGTTCACATCCACCAGCAACTCTGCAGAAGAAAGATGGGAAATCTCCTCCCATGGGACTTACAGCTTTGGAAACTCAATGGAGAGGTAACAATGGGTCAGTTATGACTTTATAGTAATTTGGTTTTAATTTTGAACTATTAGGAAACTTAAGATAGTTAATCATTTTCCTATTATCTTCCTTCAGAATTCTTTTATCTACCATGTTGTTGTTGTTAAGTGCCATCAAGTCATAGACGACTCATACTGACCCTATTAACAAAAGACCTGAACACTTGTATAACTTTGGTCATTTCTCTATGTTCATAGTTTCCTGAGGCAAGCCATGTCAGAAGCGGATGCCACTCCTGCTTCCAAGCTTGATTTAATCAGGAAGCTCCACCAAACACTTACCCACCATATCAAATAGAAATTGTTTCTTTACTAGACCTAGTGCCAACTATCCTTCTTAAAATTTCCTGATGTAAATCCCCTCCCACATAATACAAAACCATGATCTTTTTCTATGTATGTAAAAGTTGAATCATGAATTAAGGAAGACTAAGAAAGAATTGATGATTTTGGATTGTGGTATCGGTGAAGAGTATTGAATATATTATTGACTGCCAAAGAACAAACAAATCTGTCTTGTCATAAGTGCAACCAAGGTGTTCCTTAGAGGAAGGGTGATTAAACTTCATCACACATACTTTAGACATGTGGTCAAGAGGTACCAGCCCTTGGAAAGAAATACAATACTTAAAAAGTAGAGGGTGACTGAAAGAGAGGAAGCCTCCCAACAAGGTGGAGTGACACATCAATTTCCACAATGGGCTTGAGCGCTGCAGAGATCGTAAGGGTGGCACAGGAAAGGAGTTGTCCATTGGGTCACAGTGAGTTATAGTAAGTCAACTCAACAGCATCTAACAACAACAACAACATATCAACAGTACAACAAATCTTTATGGCATTGCTTTGCCCAAATTTTCTTTTCCATCTCTCAATCAGTTTCTCCCTTTGTGCAAAATCATCATCTTTTTATCTCTTCATCAAAAGTGAGCTCATTATACATGTTTCCTTAGTAATGTAAATATGAGTCTTCTCTAAGAGAGACAAGATAGAAGTTTCTAGCAACGTAATGTCAAGCTTCTTTCGGAAGTTCATCCTGACCACCATTTGTACTCATACCTTTGACTTCAGGGTACTTCATCAAAAGTAGGAGTCCATATTTCAGGGTGGTGGTTGTTGTCTCTGTTCCAGCTGAAAACAGGTCATTTACAGTCATTAACAAACTTTCAATTGTAAATTCAGTCTGCTTATTGTGCTTTTCCTAGGAAAATTAGAAAATAGTTTGACAAATTAGTTTGCCAACATATTTAATTGCTGTAAAAAATAACCCAAAAAGTTAAGCAAACTTAGAAATTAGAGAGTTTTGGGTGTTTAATGTGGGTTTTTAAAAACGTCTATATGCATAAGAGTCCGGAATGAGGGTTGCAGAGTGGAGTATACTTGGGGTGGGGGTGGGGATGTGTGGTGTGTACCAATGAAGGAGTTTTTCTTTTGCTTTTCAAGGAGAAGAGTGGGGTGGGGTGGGGGTGGGTGGGGAGAAAAGTGCAACAATGAATGAATGGAATTCCAAAATCTCTGTAGATGTTCATTGAAATTAATAATAATAATAATAATAACAATTAAAAAAAATTTAAAAAAACAACTTCTATATGGCCACCAGCTTCTCTGTGGGAAAAGAACGGACAATTTCATGTGATTAATTGCCTCTGTGAACCTACTGGAAGTTTAGCTATGGGTCAGATCTGACTATAAGGTACACAACTCAATAACATGGTATGGAAAACACTGCAAATTAGATGATCCTAACTTCATTTCATACCTATTTTTCCTTTCTTGAGTAAAATGTCTACTTACCATCCTTTTGCACCTACATGGGTCATGCCACATAGATTTTTCCAATGAGATATAAATAGAACCCCGGTGGTACTACAGTGTCTCTCTTTCTTACTCAAAACCCAGACTCAGAGATGCGAAAGGAAAAGATCTTGTCTCAGGATCTGGATTACAGCATGAAGGTGAAGGTCTGTATATTAAGTATGGAAAGAAAATGTGAAATAGCCAACTCTGTGATGCTTCAGGACTACTGTCTTAGTCCTCACCTAGCCCAGTGTGGAATCTTTGAGTATGAGACATATGAACCCATAACTTGCTTAAGTCACTGTTGACTAGATTTTCTCTAACTTGTAGGCAAACAAAACCCATTATTAAATATTATATTGAGGAAACGACCTACTAAATTCCAAAAAGACTTTTATGTTGTTAGATGCTGTTGAGTTGGTAGTGACACGCAGTAAATCTGTACACAGCAGAGTGAAACACTGCCTGCTACTAAACCACCCTCATAGTTGCTGCTGTGCTTCAGCCCTCTTTTTGTAGCCACAGCATAATCCATATTGTAATGCATCTTCCTCCTTTTTTCTGGCTCTCTACTTTAACAGTCTCTAGAGTTCTGGTGGCCTAGTGGTAAGAAACTGTGCTGCAATCCCTAAGGTGTGCGATCCGAATCCACCAGCTGAACAGGGGAAGACTGCATGTTTTAAAATTAAGAAGGGAATGTGTCAGGCTTGTATTCTTTCTTCATACCTATTTAATCTGTATGCTGAGCAAATTATTCTAGAAGTCAGACTATAAGAAGAGGAATGTGGCATCGGGATTGGAGGGAGACTCATCAATAACCTGCATTATATAGATGACCTAACCTTGCTTGCTGAAAGTAAGGAGGATGTGAAGCATTTGTTGCAGAAGATCAAGAAATGAAACCTTGATATAGATAGCAACTCAATGTCAAGAAAACAACGATTCTTACCACTGGACTGATAGGCAACATCATGATGAATGGAGAAGAGATTGAAACTTTCAACAGCTTCATCTTGCTTGGAT